CGTGGCGGGCTAAAGTGCCCGCCACGATAAATAAAAAATGCCTGCCGCGGTAAATTGTGGCATCTACCGCAGCGGGCAAAAATAGGTGACCGTCACGGAGTGCAAAAATACAACGCTGCGCATAATCGTTTGTGTAGTAGTGGTGGCGCCAAGCTAAAAGGCAAGATAGGTATTTGTCAATTTGACCAACAATAATCATGGGGTCTAAACACTTTGATTATTATAATCATTAATCTAGATTACAATTATCCTATACGTAAGCCAGATTATAATAACATGGCTGTGATCCAAACAAACCCAAAGTCTACAGAACCAACAAAAAAACATTTTTTGCAAAATAAAATGGACCAACAAGCAGCATCACTCAGCAAGTAACCATGTGTGTGCAGCCATCACATAGCGAGGTACATAGATGTTTAACAGAAATTTAGACAACACAATCAACGAGAAAAGATTACCATGCTTTGGAAGATTCACTACTAGAGAAAACATTTTCACTGCCGGCGCTTTCACCACCGGATTTATGAGAACCAAAGGTGGTAATTTTTACTGCTATTTCAAAGGCCGACTGGGCGCAGTGTGCCGAAAAGCCAGCGGTGAAAATTGTTTTTACTGCGCGGGTTCGATGTATGATCCGGCGGTGAAAATCGCTGTGCTTATCACCACCAGACCATACGCCAAACCGACGGTGAAAACTATTTTCACCACCTGTTTTTGGCCCACTACATCACACACTTACAAACCGGCTGAAAGAAATTTCACCACCGCTTTGAAGGCAGACGTGGTTAGTGGCCTTCTGAGCCGGTGGTGAACAACGCGCAGATCTATTTTTATCTGCTGCGTAGAGCTTTTATGAAAAACTATAAGGTTTGGAATCGACATGGGAGAACTTTCCTAGAAAGTCTCATGGGATACAGTGCGTGGACCCGTGTGGGATACCATCCGGGAAACCAAGAATGAGACTGAGAAGAGGGACTCACAATGAATGGCCGAAAGAAAGATTAGAAAGTATACCCTCGATTGGGTTGTGACCGACACACTCACATTGAGTCGACGATGTTATAACGGGTGGTGGCCAGTCTGCACAAAGCCATAATACCTGATATCGGAAAGCGAAGTGTGGTGCTAACATGACTCTCGCAAGACTCGTTTTTAGACTGAAGAGATTCTTTGAACTGAGTTCTTTCTCTTTCTTGCGACAAAATGGCAGTAATAGGGACCGCATGTAAGGGAAGCAACTCCTCAACTCCTCCTCTGTCACCTCACAGGGAGCTAAGTACCCAGACACTGGCAGCACCAATGACTCACATGATTGATTCATCTACTTGTAGTAGAACTCAATCATCTAAGAAGATGCAACCAAAATGGGCCAAAAGTCGTGCTTTCTGGTGAGTCTATGAATAAAGAAATGAGTGACTGGTCCCAATTTTTGTAGGAAAACAACATGACAGAGAAAGACCTTGCAAATTTTCAGCGTGGGCAGGATAGAGAGGAGATGTTGCGTGTATGACAGTTTAAGCAAGGGTCTGATGTAGTGGCTCCCAAACAAGTCCCAAGATTACAACCGAAAATACGGTAGCTGCATGATTGGTACAAACAACAAAGGCGTGTCATGTTCGTGGCAGATATAAGAACAAACATTTTCACACGAGAGAAGGCGTATCATGAGTCAAGTTTGTGGCATTGTATCGATTCTACCAAAAGTTCTCCATTATCACTCAATTACCAAAACCAAACGATGGTTTTCACTAAGTCTCCGTTGAGGAAGCTCCAAGAGCCAAGGTTCTAGCATAAGCTGGTCTCCTTCAACCTCTTTCCTTGATCCACTGTCTTGATCTCTTTCCATGCGAAGACGATATCAGGGCCTTCACAAACTTCCTCCAGCTCACCACAAGCATAGGAGCTCACCCGACGGTGCCTAGCCATATAGGAGGCTTCACTTACGAGAGTAACAAATGCTTCACGAACATTTAACTAATAGAATTATTCACTTGGGACAACAAACAATAGCTAACAACTAACCAGATGCCTTAAGCAATATTTGAGCTCGTTTTTTTTTAAAAAAAAGAAGAAGAAAAGAACAATGAAACTAGAGCACTCCCTGCTCCCCCTAAACCAAGAAGATTGAATTCTTGACACTCCAAAAAAAAATTGTTTCCGCAAATTTGCTGCTCTCATAACAAACCTAGGAAAATTACCACTTTAGTATTGACTAGCATGGGTGGGCGTGGTGTCACTGCGCCCGTAGAGATGGGGAGCGGCAAAAAAATGGCTACAACAAAAAAGTGAGTAAACAGTGTTGCAAAAGAACAGTGTCTAAATAGTGTCCAAACAGTGTAGGTGGCCTCAGAATCGCGGATATCATTCCGTATTGAGGGATCCTAATATTCCTTGATTTCATCGACATTTCTTCCAACTAATAAGATAATCATGACCCTTTAGATAATCGTCGTCCTCCTGGACATCAATGGGATGATGGTTGACGTGTTGTTTTAAGCAAGGTTTTAAATCTTTGGCTATAACTGTCGCTATTGCCGGCTACCGCTGTTTGAGGTTGATCAAGTTATTTGTGTTTATGTACAACTTAGTGACTATAGCCCCATTTAGCTCCCGCTATAGCCCCATTTAGCTCCCGCTATAGCTGTTTTAGAGGTCATCCGCTAAATGTCTTTAGCCGGAGATTTAAAACCTTGTTTTAAGGTTCATCACAGCACGGATAATAAGAGTCTAATTGATATGGTTTCTTCTGTTCAGATTATCAAGAGAATTGGTTTTGTGACTAAAATGATTATTTTGATTTTCTAAGATAAAATACACGTGATTTTGTGCGAGAAGTAAATCGAAAAGGTTAGTTTTTTTTCCAACTTCATAGTTTATTTAAAAGAATCATTTTACTGAATCCACATAGAATGATTTTTTATAAAAATAATTTTTGAGGATTTGACTTCGCTAGAAACATATCCCCAAAATTTTGGAGTTGAACAACTAATTTCTATATCAAAAGTTTGGTTACAGAAAAGTGAAGAGATAATTTGACTTCGCCCAAAAGAAGATAGAGATACGAAGATAAAAAGACAAGGCGAAGACTTCGCTTGGGAAGTGAGGTCAAGAAGATTTTGGGCGAAGCGACCAAGCATGAGAGTGCAAAAGCATCATTGGCGAAGTTAACTTCAGGTTGATGAAGGGCACGAAGAATGAAGTCCTGAAGATAAAAAGACAGTTTTACTCCTGTAGTCTAAAGGGGTTGTATTGATTAGAAAGAGAGATATAATGGTCATTTGTATATGATTTATGAAGACTAGACCTCTATAAATACCCCCTCTGACATGTACTTGTGTGAATAAGTTTCGCTCAACAATACTATTCCCTCAATTATAAATTATAAAACGTTTTGGTTTTTCTAGATATCTAGATTTTGCTATGCACTTGATATACACTATGTCTAAATATATAGTAAAATCAATGAATCAAGAAAAAACAAAACGTCATTTAATTTGGAACGAAGAAGTATTTAGGCCCTGTTTGGATCCATAGAGCTAATAGTTTGTTGTTAATAATTAGTTCCTTGGATTCAAACACGTCTAGCTAATAGTTAAGCTAAGTGTTAGTTGAATGCCCAACTAATCACAATTTCACTAGTTGAACGAAACTAGCTAATAGCAGCTAATATTAGGTATGAACTATTAGCTAACTAAATATTAGCAGCTAACGAATCCAAACAGGACCTAGCAGCAGCTAGCCAACAAAAGCTACAACCTATTATCCTGTTTAGACCCATAAAGTTAATAGCTAGCTGTTAATAATTAGCTACTTGGATTTAAACAAGACTAGCTAATTGTTAGCTAAATACCTGACTAATAACTATTTCACTAGACTAAACTAGCTAATAACAACTAATATTAGCTATGAACTATTAGCTAACTAATTATTAGCCGCTAATGAATCTAAACATGGTCTAAATAGCAGCACCCATTGTTTAACAGCTGGCCAACACAAGCCTTCAGCAGCAAACAGCTGATGCCCTGTGCTATGCGGATGCAGCCAAGCCGCCGTATGTTTGCATCGCCCACAAAAGGCCAGATTAAAGGTTTCTTTTGCTTCGAAAAAAGATTCCTCTGCACGTTAACCCGCCGGACGCGCCTACTGAATTTCACGCAGAATGCTCGTGAACTGATGCGACGAGAACAAGCAAAAGCCACACCTATGAATCCTTACCGACTTGGCTCCTGCTAAACCCCTCAGGATGCAAAGATATCGTGAGTTCATCACGTCCACAGCTACGCAAAGAAACCCTTATCATTGGCTTCGTTTGCATGTTTTTAAATCTGACTTGATCTGTTTTTTTTTATTTGAAATCGTATTTTTTTTTCATAAATTCCTCCAAATTTATTCAGTGGCTCCAGATTCCTTCTTCCATCCATGGATCCCGTCCCGCGATAAGAGGAGCACCACCAGCCCTAGGAAAAAACCCTCCAACCTCTCTCCTATACCAATCTGAAAACCCCCGACGTTTTCGGATGCCGCACATTGCTACGCATCGCAACACCTGATTATAGTTCTGGGGTTGTGATTTCTGAAAACCCCTGAAGTTTCGGATTAAGCGCGGTATTAAGCTTTCGCGTTCTTTTTTCTCCTTATTAAACTAGTTATATTTTGCGGAGAAAAGATAGCGGAATCTTGATCCACTATTGGGGAGCTGTGACATGGATCTGCGTGCCCCACCAACCAATTATCCCAAAACTTTATCTTCCATTATCCTATGGCGTCGTCGTCCTGACGCGGGGGCGGCGGGGAGGAGGCCGGAGTCATCAATAAACAATTGCGCCAGCCGGAGGCTCTCCCGTCCTATCGCATCGCCTCCACGAGCTTCATCAGTCCACGACCATCACCATCATCACAACCACTCGCTGCAGCGGCCCACCGCACTCGGCCACGACTCCGTCGTCGTGAGATCCAGCGCCGTCGTCGCGCCGCCAACGCCGCCGACGCTGCTGCCGGAGATGCCGAGCCCGACGATCCGGAGGCTGGACGTGGCCTCGCCGGTGCCGGCGGACATCGACATCGCCAACTCCGTCGAGCCGCTCCCGATCGCCGATATCGCGGCGGAGCTCGGGCTCCGGCCCGAGCACTACGACCTCTACGGCAAGTACAAAGCCAAGGTACGTTCCTGATTGGGTCCCGACGGCCGGGTGTGGTTCGGTCGGATCTTGAACGACCTTTCCTCTCTCATGTTCGCAGGTCTTGCTGTCGGTTTTGGATGAGCTCAAGGCGCAGCAGGACGGGTACTACGTCGTGGTGGGCGGCATCACGCCGACTCCCCTCGGGGAGGGCAAGTCCACCACCACCGTCGGGCTGTGTCAGGCTCTCGGCGCTTTCCTTGATAAAAAGGTGAGATGCTTACTGCTAATTTGCTTGACGGAGTCGTTTCACCAATGAGAAGATTAGCATTTTATTATGGGAGCAAATTTGTTACTGTACTGAATTGCTGTCTCAGTGCCGCCCTTAGCTGATGAATTCAGCCTTGAGGCGTGATGACCTGTTTTGATCCGTGGGTCTTGTAAGAAACTGAAACTGTTTGATACTTTGATGTAATTCTGGGCTGATTGTAGAATGCAATCTTGTTTGTTGCCACTTGTGCAGTGATTTTTGCCTTTACATTGGTTATGCTAGTACTAGGTACCTATTTCTCTGTTGCAATTAGGATGGAGTAGCATTCAGTAAGATTGATGTTATGCAAATGGTGTGATTTCGTTGAGTATGCTTTGTCGAAACAATTGGAACAATCTATTCATCTTGATCTGGATAGGATTTTGTTACTCTTTGAAATTTATTAAGGGAATATATGGCATCAAGTTGCATCAAGATCAGTACAGGTACTTTCGGAGAAAATATTAATTAAATATGCTCTTCTAAGTTCTCTGTATTTCATGGGGTTGTAAAAATTTCCAGAGCTTATATAGTATAATGACACCTTTATGTATATGTATTTGCTTGCATGAGTTATATTCACTGATTTTCGCCGAACCTATTTGATGTGTTGAGTCCTTCAAGAAAACCCGTATCTTCAAAAAAATCATTTTCTTTGTATTATCTATCATTTACACTCCCTCCTTCCCGAAAAGAAGCTTGTTAGGAATGGCCATTGATTCCCTTGCTTTGGCCAGGTCCTATATTCGTTCCCCATCCCAAGGGCCTGAGGCAGGTTCGGAATAATAGCAACATGAATACTCGAGCACCGGAGAATTAGACGGCCTACCCGAACAGGCTTTTTATTTAGTGGGGAACATCGATGAAGCTAGCACGAAAGCTATAAACTTAGAAGAGGAGAGCAAATTGAAGAAATGAAATTAAATCTTTATGTACTGACTCCTAAACGAATTATTTGGCATTGTGACCGCTTCTTAGTGAAAGGTAGGTTGTTAATGATACCGCTTAGTCAATATAGGTTAAATGCAACGACCAATTGACATATAGTACTAATAAAGAAGAGAAGGGGTTGTGCCAAACACGCCCCACCCAATAGGTGAATCTTTCAAAGTGTGGGAAATCTCCCTTTTCTTCAATCCTAGAATCGATGCCTAAGAAAAAGGGTATATCTATGATTCCATCGAAAATCAATTTTACGGTATAGGCGCGCCTCCCCCTCTATGCCTTGCGGTAATTTATCCATTTTTACTTTTTTTATGCTAATGTTGGTGACTGGAGATAACTTTCTTCAATTATTCCTGGGATGGGAGGGAGTAGGTCTTGCTTCATATTTGTTAATTCAAAACATAGGCCAACACGAATCATCACAGAGCATTGCATTGTCTAAGGGAGTAGGGTGAGTAAGCAGCGCCTACCAAGGCGTTCGAGCGACAAGAATTCTTTTCATAGCCTTCCCTTCAATATGCCATCTTGTCTTGCGGCGCTCTATCCTTCCAAGTGAGCCCACTTCTAGTTTGGGGCTAAATCAAATTTTCTTAAGTTTGACTAAGTTTAAAGAAAATAGTATAAACACTCATGTCTCCAAATAGGTTTACTATGAAAATATATTCCATGATTAATCTAATGGAACTTATTCGATATCATAAATGTTAGTACTTTTCTGTATATATTTGGCCAAACTTGAAATTGTTTGTCTTTTTTTAAAACGAGGAGTGCACTCTTTTTGTGACAGAGGGAGTAAGCAATAAGTATATAATAAAATACTGTTTGGCTTGCTTATCTGTCTTGTGTAAGCCTTTGAATCTTTTATTTACAATTCATGCAACCGATAAGCTGCAACTTTCTTTTGTGCTTCCATTATACTTCTAGTATTAAAAGACAATCATATGTGTGATAAAATAACTTCAGACTGTCTTGCAAGTTTCTGCTCCAGATCATGCGGAAGTAGTTTCATGTATTAATGTATTGTTTTTGTTGTAGGTTGTCACTTGCCTCCGTCAACCATCACAAGGGCCTACCTTTGGAATTAAGGGAGGTGCAGCTGGAGGTGGCTACAGCCAAGTTATACCCATGGATGAGTTCAATCTTCATCTGACAGGCGATATCCATGCAATTACGGCCGCAAACAATCTTCTTGCTGCTGCTATTGATACAAGGATCTTCCATGAAAACTCTCAGTCAGATAAAGGACTGTTCAACAGATTGTGTCCGGCAAACAAGGAAGGCAAGAAACACTTTGCTGATGTAATGCTCAGACGTCTGACTAAGCTGGGCATTTCAAAGACAGATCCCAATGAGCTTACACCAGATGAAATCAGGCGTTTTGCAAGGCTTGATATCGACCCTGAGTCCATTACATGGAGACGGGTGATGGATGTCAATGATCGTTTCCTGAGAAAAATCACTATTGGACAGGGCCCTGAAGAAAAAGGTATGTTGAGAGAAACAGGCTTTGACATATCAGTAGCTAGTGAGATAATGGCTGTATTAGCTCTTACAACTTCCCTCGCTGACATGAGAGAAAGGCTTGGAAGAATGGTTATAGGGAACAGCAAGTCAGGTGAGCCGATAACTGCTGATGATCTTGGTGTTGGAGGTGCGTTGACTGTCCTAATGAAAGATGCTATTCATCCCACCCTCATGCAAACTCTTGAAGGCACACCAGTTTTGGTACATGCTGGACCGTTTGCTAACATTGCTCATGGAAACTCTTCAATTGTTGCTGATAAGATTGCTTTGAAGTTGGTTGGGAAGGGTGGCTTTGTTGTTACCGAGGCAGGTTTTGGTGCTGATATTGGAACTGAGAAGTTCATGGACATCAAATGTAGGTATAGTGGATTGGTGCCGCAGTGTGCTATTATTGTGGCCACAATTAGAGCTCTTAAAATGCATGGAGGGGGGCCTGAGGTGGTGGCTGGAAAGCCCTTGGATCATGCATATGTGAGTGAAAATGTGGCCCTTGTTGAAGCTGGATGTGTAAATCTTGCTAAACATATATCAAACACGAGGAGTTATGGAGTTAATGTTGTAGTTGCAATCAACAAATTTGCATCAGATACTGAAGCAGAAATGAATGCGGTGCGGTATGCAGCTATGGCTGCTGGTGCTTTTGACGCTGTCGTCTGCACACACCATGCCCATGGTGGTAAAGGAGCGGTTAGTTCTCTTTCCCTAACAAATTTTTTAATTTAGTCAAGTATAGGTTAGTGGGAAGACATTTTGGCTTTTTATATACATAGCTTTTGCTATGCAACTATGTCTATATGCATAGTAAAATCAATGTATCTAGACTAGAAAAGCCAAAACGTCTTATAATTTGGAATGGAGAGAGTATCTTTTGTAGCAACATAGTGCATATGATTGTTTCCTAAACAGGGACATATTTATAGCTCTTATTGTTTATGAAATATGTTACTGTATTTGTTATAATTATCCCTTCTAGTTCACTGTTGCCTAGAAAGTTAATTCATTTTTTTCTCACATGAACTCTTTATTTATTTCTTCAGTGCTAGAACAAGAACAGTGTGCATAACATAGTTGTAAGAATATAACCTGATCCTATTATACCGTTTAATTTATTTTCAGGTCGAGCTTGGACTTGCTGTTCAACGAGCATGCGAAAGCCAGGCAGAACCTCTGAAGTTTTTGTATCCTTTGGAATCTAGCATAAAGGAGAAGATTGAGTCAATTGCTAAGTTCTATGGTGCTAGTGGCGTTGAATACTCCGAACAGGTACTTTCTTGTAATCATGCTGTGTGTTTAATCTTTTTTTTTCTTTTTGGTGGTTATCGCATCACCTATATAAGATAAAGCAATCACGAGCCAAGATTAGCAGACACCTAGTTTATGATTTGAATCATGTCAACGATCACCTGAGAGGCTGAGTTACATTCCAAGGAAAGCATAATCTAAAACAAAACTAAAAATCTTCTATAAAATTTTCCCCATTACTTTCTGCATCTAGAAAGATTATATGCACAGTGCACAAAGAATAGAACATTGCTTCACTCTGCTGACTTTTCTTCACCTCCCAACAGGCTGAGAAACAGATTGAGATGTACACCAAGCAAGGGTTCTCCAACCTCCCCATCTGCATGGCGAAGACCCAATACTCATTCTCCCACGTCCCATCCATGAAGGGCGCCCCGACCGGCTTTGTTCTACCAATAAGAGACGTGAGGGCCAGCATCGGAGCCGGGTTCATCTACCCGCTCGTCGGCACCATGAGCACGATGCCTGGCCTTCCCACAAGGCCCTGCTTCTACGAGATCGATGTCGACACCGCCACCGGGAAGGTCATGGGCCTGTCATGAACTGAATTCAAGTTCTGATGGTGCCGTTCGTATACCAGATTTGTTGCACATTCGTTGGAGCGTCATTGTGTAGTATTCGGGGCAGTCCTGGAGTTGAATAATAATAGGGATAGCGATAGTGATAATAATAGCCGTTCCTGGCTTCCTGCAAGTGCAGTGCCGCTTCTTGTTGCTTTGCTTTTGTAACCCGGAGACTGTAAATGTGGTCGAACCGTGCTGTTTAGATTCCCATGCCTCAAATCCTGCGTTCAGTTAATTGTAGTAGTTGTATTTTCGAAGGATTGTCTTTGAACCGATTGGTTAGTGATTGATAAAGTCAGTTCTGAGATTGCTGCCTGTTCAACCAAGTCAGCACGCCAAGTTTTTTTTTTTTTTTTTGAATGGCGCCAAGTGTTCGTTGGCCCAATAACATAGGACTCTGCCTGCAGTGCGGCCCATAAACAAATAAAATAGCCAGCTAAATCCAGTTCATAGCGCGGCCCAGCATTTCCACTTGAGTCTAGGTCGCCGGTGTGGACCTTGTATTCATGGCAGGCCTCTTGGCCCATCTCGTTAGTTTGGTCCTCTGCGTTCAAATTTGTAGACAGAAATCTATATTCCACAGAAAAATCCAAGCATTTAGATTTCTGTCTAACATATATGCACATCATATTTTTTGCTCAAAAAAAATATGCACATCATATTTACAATTCAAATTCACATGTATTTTTATAGAAAAACCCACCATCAGATAATCGCCTGCAATTCTGCAGTCAGTAACGCTGGTCACGGGCAGCAACGACCGCGGGGAATGGATAGTCCAGCACGGAAAAGCACCCTCCACAACGACCAAGCCCTTGTAGGTACTGTACTACTCCGACGCGACAAGTCAACGAGCGAGTCGGCGACGCGGCACGGAAGGAACGAACCACGGGAGCGGCTGGAGTCCGGCAAGAGAGTCAAGCCCTCGCCGCGAGGGCACCGGCAGCGCCTTTCCCTTCCCCCGGGGGAATTGACCTGAGCTCACATCACATGGCTGCTGCTTGCCCTGTTTCCTGCAAGGAGAACAGGTCTCTGTAGCTGTCACGAGCAGGATCGTGTTGCTGTCAATCCTACATGGAATTAGGAATGCCGGGGAGACGCTTTTCCCTCCACGACAGGTCGGTGCGTCCGGTGCAGGGATCACCTGACTGACTAGTCCAGCAGCTATGCAACGAAATTATTGGGCAGTCCACTGGGAAAAAAAGGGGTACTAGCTTTTCCTGGAAGTTGAATCCGTCAGACAATGCCACTGGCAGGCAGTGCTGTTCCATTTATCAGCCTGTTCGTTTGTTGGTTTCAGTCAGCCCAAATCAGTCAGCCAACAGTGTTTTTCTCTCACAAAAAACCAGCACCAGCCAGCCCAAACCAGCACCAGCACCAACCAACGAACAGGGCCTATGATGAAAGGTAATTACCCTGTTCGCTTGGCTGATAAGCCATGACTGAAAGTACTGTTGACTGATTTGTTGTGAGAGAAAAATACTATTCGTTAGCTGAAAAAGTACGGCTTATAAGCCAAGCGAACAGTGCGATTAACTATCAGTCTAGCTAGGACTATTTGTTACTCCCTCCGTTTCAAATTGTAAATTGATTTGACTTTTTTTTTTTTGCTGGTTCATAGCTTTTGCAACGCACCTATGTAATCATTATATGATACATAAAAAAGACATAATGACTCAATTTGAAACCGAGGAATTGAAGTAGAAGAATTTAGTGCAGCATCAGGCAATCACCAACGGTAGTAGTAGTATTCAGATATCAAGAGGAGATAGAGAGGACATCAGTTACTTGACTGATCCAATCTCCTCTCACCTTTTCCACTGCGCTAAACTGATTCATACGTCGTGCATCTCAAATACTCCTGTAGGCAGTACTAGTTCAAAATAACCACTCTGAAACTGTTTAAAAACAATTTTATGGTCTTGCTTACCTGCACACACCGCAGTGGGCCAATGAGTAAGCATGCATCTCTAGTACTCATCAGACGACCGTGAGTACCTGTTGGAGCAGCAGCTGCTGCGTCGATATAAATAAACAAGAACTACCGCGCCATCAGGCAAATCACCAATGGCAACAGCTACAGCATGACAGCAAAATGTTTCAGTTTCAGATCTCATGCGCGGGCCGCCATCGATCATTGCTTGACGCGACGTGAATCCCTGAGCACCGCCCGCCTTTCCGTCGCGCTAATGCGTTGGACCTACCATAACCCTGTGCTTCGCGCGCGGGTGTCGCGTGCCTAGCGATCTCCAATACCTGATGCTGCACTGCACGTACTGGGGACTGGTGGATGCATGGGCCAACCAGGTCGCCATTTTTCTGTGCATGGCAATGAGTGGACGCTCGCATGCTTTGCACTGGCATCATCACCGTCATCATTTTCAGTGATCCATCTATCTCGCTGCTCGTCGATCAACCACTGCTCTGTCACGTAGTACTTGTGTTTGGCGACTTGGCGTCATCATGCCGGTTGCCGGAGCACATTTTCCATCAGAACGTTCCATTTGAACGGCGACGAAGTTTTGTCAAGCAACGGCACATGTGGTTTCGTTCGATCTCTCCCTCGGCGAGTACTTTGACGTTCAATTTTGGGATGTCTAGAAACGGCGCTTACACGCCAAAGTTGACTGTCTGGCCACAAAACGTGTTCGCGTGTTGCAACGGAACCTAATAATGCTATAGAAATTAGATTAGACTGCATATTGTCGCTAGATGCAAGTTGTTCTTGAAAGAAAGGAGGGAACCAAGCCAACCTATCTTGGCGAGGCTTGGGCTTCGTGTTTATATATATAGTCCAAAGGACAATAGATTACATCCAGGCTTTTACAACTTCAGGAGCAAGTCACGGTCTATCTCTACCATATTTGGTTCTACCATAATTAGGAGTCCTAACTCAACCGTGACATGCATACCTGACGGTTCAACCGTGAGTACTACTCACGTGTTGTTACATGTTACAGCCATGCCATACTTTAGATAATTACATGTTTAACACCCTCCTGCAATCTTAACTTGGTTTCTTAACCAGATTTAGATTGTTTCTAAATCTCTCAAACTCCCGACTAGGCAATGCTTTTGTAAATCCATCAGCGAGTTGATCTTTTGAAGGAATAAATCTGACCTCCAACTGACGCCTTGCAACTCTTTCTCTTACGAAGTGAAAATCAATCTCAATATGTTTTGCTCTAGCATGAAACACAGGATTTGCTGATAAATATGTCGCACCGAGATTGTCACACCACAGACACGGCAGCTCCTTCAGTCTTACGCCCAATTCGGTCAATAGTTTCTGAACCCACACGGTTTCAGCAGTGACATTGGCCAAGGCCTTGTATTCTGCTTCGGTACTGGACCGAGACACTGTTGGCTGTTTCTTTGCACTCCATGAGATCAAATTTGGACCGAAATAGACTGCAAATCCTCCTGTAGATCGCCTATCATCAATATCACCAGCCCAATCCGCATCGGAAAAAGCACTTAGCAAAGTTGAATGAGAACTCCAAATCTTAAATCCCGTATCAATAGTTCCTTTTACAAATCTTAAGATCCTTTTTACTGCCGACCAATGAGCTACGGTTGGAGCATGCAGAAACTGGCACACCTTATTAACCGCAAATGCTAAATCAGGACGTGTGAGTGTTAAATATTGTAATGCTCCAACAATACTACGATATTTTGTACTGTCTTCAAGTGATAGCAATGCCCCATCTCTGACAGATAGCTTCTCGGTTGCAGCTAAAGGAGTCGACACTGGTTTGCAGTTCGTCATATGAACCCGTTTTAGGATATCCGACGCATACTTTGACTGCGATAGCACAATACCATGTTGTGTCGGCTTGACTTCAATTCCAAGAAAGTAATTCAGATTTCCCAAATCTTTCAGCGCAAAATCAACTCGAAGATCCCTTAATAATGCGGAGATTGCTTCCATAGAAGACCCGGTAACAATTATGTCATCAACATATATGAGCATAAATATAACTGTATTTGACTTTGAATAAATAAAGAGTGACGTATCTGATTTAGACGCCACAAAACCGAGGCTAAGCAATTTTGAACTTAGCCTCGAGTACCACGCTCTTGGTGCTTGTTTTAATCCATAGATCGCTTTATCAAGCTTGCAAACATAATTGGGAAACCTTGCATCTTCAAATCCTGGAGGTTGTCGCATATAGACTTCTTCCTCAAGAACGCCATGAAGAAACGCGTTCTGCACATCTAACTGCCGAAGGCACCATCCACGTGATACTGCAATTGATAGAACAAGACGAATCGTGGCAATTTTTACCACAGGGCTGAACGTGTCTTCATAATCAATACCGTATCGCTGCTTGAACCCTTTTGCGACCAACCTTTCTTTGTAGCGATCTATACTACCATCAGCCTTCCTTTTCAATTTATATACCCATTTGCAATCAATAAGATTGTTACCTTTGGAGGGAGGCACAAGATGCCACGTGTTATTTTTGTGAAGTGCCGTGATCTCATCCTGCATTGCATTTGCCCATCTTTGATTCCCAAGAGCTTCTTGTAATGTCTGTGGCTCTCCTATAGAAGAGAAAAATGTATATCTGATGGTACCATCAGTAAAAATCTTAGGCTTGCTAATACCGCTTTGAGAACGTGTCCTGGGTCGAGGTGCACTTGATTCGCCTGCACTTGTGTCCTCTGTGGCGGATCCGTCCTGTAGAATACCGTGCCCAGTGCTGCGAGATGATCCTCCCGGGGGCTCGTGCGCCGTACTGACACGAGGCAGCCCTCCTGCACTTGGAGGCGAGGCGGACGCAGGACTGGTGCTCGGCAAATTTGCGGTTGGAGAATGGGAGTCCAGGGCTGGTGCGCTGTTGTCGCTCACAAAATCCTCCACGGAATCGAAGCCATTGCTAGCAGGCAAATCAGGCTCGATATCTGCACTAGTAGGAACCCCTTCTGCAGCATGTTGTTCTGGAGTCAAATGAGCACCAAATTGAGCACGGTTT